CCAAGCCAACGTTGGAAGACGATGTTGGTCAGTATCTATTACCTGCCGACTATGTCACTCTAATAGCAATAAGTAAAAAGTATTTGAGGATGTCCAAGCCATGACATGTTTGGGATTTGAACCCAGGCATACTACATACACCTGCCACCTTAATCACCAAGCCAAGCCAATGAAATGTTGGTCAGTATCTCAAGTCAATGTCGGAAGACGATGATTTGAACCTGGGCCTGCAAGCTTGGCACTTTGTAACTTTACCTGTTCTCAGCCTAAGATGACTACCAAGACAATCTGCTTGGTACTTTGTAACTTACTACCCACTCTCAGCAAAAGACAACAACCCCTTCTAGGGACCAGATCTTGGAAGACGATGATTTGAACTGCTCGGCACTTTGTAACTTACCCGTTCTCAGCCTAAGACAACTAGTTCTCGGCCTAAGACAACTACCTGTTCTCGGCCTAAGACAATTAACTCGGGTCTGCAAGCTCGGTACTTTGTACGAGGGACTGGATACCGACCGTGTCACTTCTAATAATAGCAGTAAGTAAAAAATCGTGGAAAAGAACGAAAGACTTTGTCAGGATTTGAACCCAGGGCATACAGAGATACACTACATACACCTGCCATCTTAACCAATAAGCCAAGTCAATGTCACAACAAACTCTTGGTCAGTATCTCTTAGCTGGCGACCATATAATAATGTAAATAAAAAGTATTTGAAGATGTGCAGGCACTGACTTGTTTGGGATTTGAACCCGAGCAGATACACTATGTACACATGCCACCTTAACCACTAAGCCAAGTCAATCTTACAACAAAATGCTGGTCACAATCATTCTAATAGCAGTAAACGTGTTTGGCATTTGAAGCTGGGGCATACTGAATCAGGGCCTGCAAGCTCGGCACTGACTTGTTCGGGCGGTGAACCTGGGGCATAAGACAACCTGGCCCAACCTTGGCCCGGACAGGACACATATACATAGACTATGATGCAAGATAAATTTGGTCAGTAGATTTTAGCCGGCCCCAGCTGGATGCTCCTGGCCTGGTACACCTCACAAAATTACTCTTAGATTAGAAAGTAGGCCCAGGCATGGGGCTTCAAGTTGGGCCTGGGCATGGGACTTCAACTTGTGCCCGGGCAGGTCACCATCAATGTCAATCGAAATTTGCCCACAATCTTTGGAATCTGGCATGGTCTAATGGTAGAGTTGCCTTCCGGGTTCAATCCCCGGCCATGCTTATCCTTATGACATTTTCAACTTTTTTGTGGGGACTCCTCGAGGCATCTGCCAGATATTCTTATGCTTCTGATATAGGGTTGGATCAAGGGTTGTAATTTAACCTGAAACATGCGTGTTTCCCTGTTTAAAAACCCTCTCACATTTCAAGGACCCATCTTCCCCCACACCCCTCCACTGCGACATGAATCACTTCACCCCCATGACGATCTGGACTCTATTGGGCATCCCTCCACCCAATCCCTACCCCGTAAGTTCTGTATCTCTCCATTGGTCTTAACCAGCTGATGATTCATCAGAAAGGAACCTGTGTGTGGTATAATATGTCTATCAGTGGCCTCATGTTTGCAACTGTGGACTCCACCGGCCGGTTGCCTGACGTGAGCAATCCCCTTGGTACTTCATTTTTTCCACTAACATGGTGATTAGGGTACCATGCTCTTAACTATCATTGACGACGATGGGGAGAAGGTGACCCTTCCGTATGTCCTCTTTTTTTTTCTGTCCAAACATCATTTCACCTATTATGAAAGAGCATGCGGCGTAACACAGGTCTCTTAATACATATCATTCCATACCACCTGTAACATTGAATTTGTCCAAAAAAAAATTATCTGAGCTTTTGATGGGCTGGCTTATTCAGCTGGCCATAAGCATTGGGCTTTACCAACGCCAAGATGGAGCCGAGTACAAGGCCATCAATACGCTGTCACCCTAACTTCAATGTAATAAACTTCGACTTAATGGACAATGCCCTGGCCTCATGTTTTGGGAGATAAAAAGTAAATGGGAATTTCTTGTTTTTTTTAAAACCATGACTCCCTCTCAACATTCACAAGATCTAGCTCACTACATCAAAGGCTGGCTGCTAAGTTCCAGAATGCCATTGATTCATGCTCAGCCTGCTAGACCAACATGGCTTCTTCCATCCAGACCTCAAGTTCAAGTTGAAAAGGTCATTAGGATGCTTGAAGAAGCCTGGAATCAATCCTGTAAGTCCGATGTTCAACCGGCGGTATCAGACAGGCCAATAAAGCCTTCCCAGATGAAACTGACTGGGATGTCCAAGATTATGTGGCCGAGTTATCACTGAGGCAGAGTGGAAGCAATGGGGATTTGGAAAACAGACTCCTTACAAGATTCCCACTGATCTACCAATCAACATCGCCGGTCGACATCCCTTACCTCAATAAACCTTGCCACATAACTGACAAGGCCAGCCACATTCTTCTGTGGTACTTCCCAAAGTTAATCTCAGAAGATCTTCAGGTAATTTTATTTCCCCCAACAACCGAGAAGTTTTTAACTCAGACCGGTCCAGCAACTGATTTGGACCCAGACGGAGAATCTAAGACCCAAAAAGAAAAGTAATGGGAGTTGGCGGGATCAGATCCACCCCAACCATGGTGGCAAAACAACTGGCATAGTAAATTTATCACCTGGCTGGTTCTCCCAAGGACATGAAGGTCCTGCCGATCCACTTCATCCTTCCTCCGATATCCAACAGGCCAGTAACCTCATCTATCTTGAAACACTCTCCTTCATCAATGCTGTTATCTCTGCCATATACTCCATCATTCAACCTGACCTATGTGAGTCAGGATTTGCGGTCTTTGACCAGCTCGCCGAGGACGGTCAGCAAGATGAAGCTACCAGCATGGCTCTGGGAGTGTGGGGTACACCTTTCACCGGCCTTTCAGTCATCATAAACAGAGAGACAATTACCCACCGAGATGTAAAGGGCTACAGGGAGTCTTTCGACATGTTGTTGACAATCGGTCGGTATGACCAAGGTCAGTTTTACATGTCCGGGCTCGGATTCAGCCTCCTTTATGACCCAAGAACTCTTGTGGGCCTGGCTGGCAACGTCTTACCACATGGTGTTTGTCCCGTTGTCAGTGAACGCGCCTGTTTGGCTCACTTCTGGCATAAAAAGGTTGGGGAGAGGCTTGGCGTCATGCCACCTCAATGGCAAACTATAGAAAAGCTGACTCATACAATACTGGCTATGTAATGTATATAGAATTACTCTGGCCGCTGGCATACCCGGAGCTTCTCGGCATCAAGTTTGGAAGACAAAAATACAATATCTTCCCAATCCCTGATCTGTCGCATCATAAGATCCACCTCGGCCTCAGCATGGTCAATCCTTTCCACAATGAGTTCCTGCGCTTTCTCCAATTGTGCTTTAAGCCGGCTGACGTCCTCGGGTGATAGGTTTGACGTCTCAAGGTTCGTTCGCACAAGTGGCAAAGCGCCATCTTCAGCCCACTTATACCACTTGGCTGACTTGCTAAGCATGTAGTAGATTCCCTCCTTTGGATAGCTCTTAGGAGTCGTCCACCATGGAAACTCATATGAAGGCCAAACGGAATCTCTTTGAATCGCCACGTCAGGGTGAAGTGGGTCACACTGAATACAGCTTCTAAGGAACGCGGGGACCTCAAACTGGGGCCAACGTCAGCAAGAAAAATAGCCTTCGGGATGGCTTACCTCATGCCCATGAACGAAGGCCATTCCAATACTATCAATCATGAAGCCCTTTCCAAAGGAACAAGGTTAGTTGCAACTGGATCCAGAGAAATCACATGGCTCACCACTTCGGCCGCATAATACTCATCCCATGAGATTTGGAACTCAGGCTCGATAGGCTTTGCAAGCTTAGCCGTGTGAATGGCCCTAAACCAAGATGACCAGTAGTCAAGCACTTCCTGGAACTCCTGCGGGTTCTCCCACAGGAGACATTTACCAAAATGTGCTTCAAACTTTTGACCTTGAATCATATCCTTCATCCAGTCAATTTCAACCTGCAGCACAGGGGGTACTGGTGTTGAGAGTACTGGTGTAGAAGACATGGTAGTGTTGGATAAAGATGGATGATAATCTAATTCAACCAAGATTAGGTAATGCAATAGACTGGCACATGACACTGGCATTTATAAATTCTTTGGTGGCCTGGAAGGCAAGCTCTTTCCACATACTGATTTGTCCCTCTGCGAAGGAAACTTGGCTTTGTTGATGAAAAAGAGCCGGGTCCAGTTCATTTCGTTTGGGATCAAGGTATGCTCTTCCGACATCGGTCATACCGAGCTTTTGCTCTAAGCCAATTCACCCGATATACTATTGGGTTGTCTGGTTTCAATTCATCTAGAGGAATAAAAGTGATTGGATCTGACCTTGTTCCATGTAAGTTGAACCCAACGAATCATCAGCCATGGCCATATTCCAGAACCATGGCAAAGCAATATTTCTTTGACCCTGGGCGTTGCCATCGTATACCATAGTTAGTGCCCTTGTATCTTTTTTCCCTATCAGCTTGTATCGGTCACGAGTGCCCTGAGGAGCATTGAGCTGATTGAGAGCCCATCAAGCTTGGTTGTATGCATGGAGAGCACTTTTCATATTACGATCTGATCCTTGTACAGCATCATAAGCCCGAGTTACACGTTTTTTCGATTTCTCTGATCAAACTCTCCTGCGGTAAAGGAATGACTTGTAACCGATGGCTTCCCGTAAACATTTGAGAGTGTTATTTGCCTGGGCCACTCTCAATTCTATCTCTATGCACTGGGCTTCTCCCAGTGATGTAGGCAGAAGGGCCGATTGGAATGAGGATGGTAAGAGGATTTGTTGATGTTCAGCTGATCCATACCCCCGATCAGGCAAACTGGGTATGGGTACCGGGATCTCCTCTCCATCACAATCGCTCCAGTCATCGTCATCCACGATCTCCTCCGAGAGCGGTGGATCATGAATAGTTGCTTCCTTAATTTCCAAGTTGGGAAAATGGCCTTGACCGGCCTCGGAGAACTCTTCAAGTCGCTTGGAAAGCTTCTCTTGACATTTCATCATCTCCAGCTTCTGATCGGCACCTGGACGACTGCCTTGAGCCTTCACAAAGGCGGCCAATTCGGCTCTGGATTGTTCAATGTTTGAATCTAGCAATATTTGACTTCACTCACTGGGCTTCCTGAATTTTGATACTGCTGTTTACTCATCCGGTTAACCCCGACTTGACCTTGCCTTCCTGTTCTTTAGTCATAAGTTTTAGCCGAATGCCCTTTTCGGTCTCGGCTGATTCAATGATTTACAGCTGGCCTTTGTGAGGGAAAACTTGGTCCTTACCTTCCTTGACCTTGATGTAATAGATGTCCATGGAGGAAAGGTCCTTTGCCTGGTTCAAATTTGCGGTTTTGATCTGTTGCTCCCATTCTTGAATCTGTTCCTTACTTGCTGAGGCACTTAATTCTTCAAGAGCCTGGAAGCTCTCAGAGAGCCCGAGTTTTGCGTGCTTCCACTTCTTGCAAAGGCTACTCACTTGACTCTTATTAGCTTAACAGCAATGTAAAAGCAGTTGAACATAGATACCCATATTGATCATTTTTTTCCAGTTGTTATCCAGTACTTTACAGTGCCCCTCCCATTCCTGCAGGATTCCAGTGATTCCTGCGGATTCCGGTGGATTCCAGAGGAATGGGACTGGAATCCGCCGGAATCCACAGGAATGGGACCGGAATCTGCAGGAATGGGACTGGAATAGAAGTAAAATCACAGATACAACATACATTTACACCAATACACACTTCTGCATACTTCTCTCAGTACTTTTTAAGCTGATCAGTTTTCAGTATTAGTTCTGATCAGACCTTGGACAAAGTAAGGAGATATTATGTGACTGAATCTAACTCAGGCCTTCTGCTGATAACTTAATCTTAGGATTCCTTAGGACATTTATACTTAAAGAGGGAAGATTCATTTCAACTCATTTATTAAAAATACATGATGGAATTTATCTACATTGAATCTAGATAGAGGGAGGGGGAGGAGTGGAGGGAGAGGGGAAAAGTGGAGGGAGTGGAGGGAGTGAGGGGGAAGGAGTGGAGGGGTAGGGGTGCTGGGGAGTGGGGGGAATGAAGAACTAGAGGGGGGGAAGAACTGAAGGGAGGGGCAGTGAGGGAGAGGGGAGGTAGGGAATGAGGGAATGAAGACAGGGGGTAGGGAATGAAGACAGGGGGTAGGGAATGAAGACAGGGGGTAGGGAATGAAGGGGGTAGGGAATGAAGGGAGGGGGTAGGGAATGAAGGGGGTAGGGAGAGGGAGGGAGTGGTGAGCAGGAAAGGAGGGGGAGTAAGGGAGGGGGAAGGGGATGGTGGGTAGTGGGTGAGCAGCAGGGGAGGGGGAGGGAGTGGTCTCGTTGGCGCGCATTGTCGACGCGTCATCGTGTCGTGTCGTCGTTTTCGTTTGTCATCGTCCTGGCATGTTGTCATCCTCGTTGGCGTCGTGTCCGCTGGGCATTGCATTGTGGGCGTTAGGCGTTGGCATGGGCGCTGGGCGTCGTTTCGTGGGCGCTGGCGGTGTACGTGGGTGCTGGGTGCTGTTTCGTGTCCACGGGGTGTTGTTTCGCGTCCGTTGGAGATGTACGTGGGTGCTGGGCTTCGTTTCGTGGGTGGCGTGTTGTTTTCATATACGCTGGGGTGTTTTCGTGGGCGGTGGGGAGTTTTCGTTGATGCGATGTGCCGTTGTGCACTGTCGTGGGTGCTGGGCGGCCATCGTGGGTGCTGGGTGGGGTGTTTTCATGGGCGAGGTGGTGCTGTCATGTTTCGTGTGGGCGCTGAACGTTGTTTCGGGAGTGCTGGGGTGGTGCCGTCGTGGGGTGTCAGACCTGTTGCTGTCATTTTGGTGCCACGTCGCAGTCAGCGACGTGGCACCTGGTTTTCGTGTTGAGAAACGAGGGGAGAGGGGGTTGTGGGTGCTTACCTGGTTTGTGTGCCATGGTGACGTGGCACAGTGTTGTGGTGTTGGCAACGTTGTTGGATGTCGGGTGAGCGGTGTGGTGGTCGATGTGAGCCCCCTCACGTCACTTAGCCCATGGCGGGCACTCACAACGTGAGGGAGGCGGTTACGTGGAGCGACGATGGTGGTGGTGGGAGGAGAGAGGGCTGTGTTTGGATGAGCGTGAAAGCTGTTGCCAAACAATTGTTTGTTTGGCAATGGGCTTGCGCCAAACAAACCGGAATCCGGTTGCATTCCGTTTTTGCCAATCCGGGGACCATTCCGGTCACAATTCCGGAATGCCGAAATTCCGCCAGAATGGTAAAGCACCGGAATGATGAAAATAGCAGGGAGGCCCGCTATTTTCATCATTCCGGTGCCTTACCATTCCGGAATTGACACCAGAATGATCCGCGGAATGCACAGGAACGGAATGCAACGGAATCCGGTCCTTTGTTTGTTTGTTTTACCTCTGTTACCAAACAAAGGCAACGTTACCAAACAAAGGCAACGCTACCAAACAAACTCAGTACCATTCCCTTCCCCCACGGCAGACTACTGGTGTTTGTAGTTGCTATTACATAATAGCTACGCTTATGTGATAGCTACGCTTATGTGATAGCTACGCTTATGTGATAGCTACGCTTATGTGATAGCTACGCTTATGTGATAGCTACGCTTATGTGATAGCTACGCTTATGTGATAGCTACGCTTATGTGAGAGCTATGCTTATGTTATAGCACGCTTATGTGATAGCAAGTGGCTGTGTAATCTCTCTTGCTCGTATACTTTTGCCCTCTCTGCGGCCTTCCACCACATTTTTACATCATGTAAAACAGAAGATACATTGAGATTATTGCGCAAATATAAGCTATTACAAAATTTCTATGTATTTTACTGTTCAATTTTCAACTACATCACAATATAACTGTTGGGACAAGAAATTCAACAGGGAAAGAATGTGATGGTCAATTTGACATTTGGATAATTGATCAGCTTTGAATATTAGCTGAAAAAATGTGAGATGAAGTGCCACAGTCATTTGAAATCAGAGGATAGGTAAATCATTCAATGTATGCCTAAACAAAAGAGGTTTCTGGGATTCTTCCCATTCCCGAAGAAATTAGATTCAAGTCAGCTATGCAACAACTATTGATGCCTGAGCCTTGGGTAAAAAAAATGGAACTGATACTTGGGATTGTGTCAAGGTACAAAATATGCTGTTATGTCCATCCTACTGTTGCAGAGAAACAGTTGTTTTTAAAGCTTATGTGTGAGTATCTAGCATTAATCAGGAGATCCTGACTGCAAAAAAAAGCTGTAATTGTACAGAATTGTAATCATGCAAAGGGAAATGAAAATGATATCTTCTACAAAATATATTCTGTAGTATGGCCTGTGAACATCAAAATGGAGGTGCTTCACATACAGCCCATCAAGCAAAGGATCAATTGCTCCCACCCAAATTTTTTAAAGTAATCCAGGGCTTTATCATTTGGATGTGGATAGTCATTTTCCTGAACCATCACAGGAGAGGATTAATTCAGCCCACACAATATCACTGCTAGCCCATTACAAAATACAGTTTAATTAGCTAATAAAAGGCCTGCACAAGATGTCCTAGAAATTTCAGCTCCCTAATTACCTTGAAAGAGAATCAGAGCAGGAAATGATGCTCTAGGCCAGAATTTGAGGGCAGTAGGGCAGATAAAATTTACTGGAAAATCCCCAACAGAGTAGACTGTGATGGGGGGGATAGCAGGTATCCAAAGGCCCTGTCAGAATAAGGTTGGTAGGCCAGTTGTAGGTGGAGATGGAAAGATGGGTCAGTAGTTTATAGCTCATGAT